TTGAAAAAACTTTGATATTTGGAAAATGCTTTTTTACAGTTTCTATTAATCGATGATTTATTTCTGGTGAATCTATGGCCGCAATAAGTACATGTGCTTCACTCGCTCCTGCTGCATGAAGCAAGTCGTGTCTAGTGGCATCTCCATAATAAACTTTGAAACCCATTTTGCGAAGTAAGGCTACCCTATCAGAATCATGATCAAGAATGGTTGCCTCTACTTTATTTGCCCTAAGTAATCGCCCTACTGTACTACCGAAATGACCAAACCCTGCTATGATGACTTTATTTTTTTCATTAATCTCATCACTCTCGTCTTCTGTTGGTACTTTTTTAATGCCAAAATATGGATCAATAATTCTTTCGTTTATTAACAATAAAAATGGAGTCGAGACCATCGTAAGAGCTACGACAGCCATCATAGTAGAACTGAGTTGATTGTCTAATATACCAATCTGAGATGCAAATCCTAATAAGACAAAAGCAAATTCTCCCGCTTGAGAAAGCCCAAAAGAAAATATAAAGTTTTGGTCACTATCCATTTTAAAAACCTTGCCAATACCAAATAAAACGGCAAACTTCACCATCAAAACTATGGCAACCAACATCGATATAATACCAGGTGCATTAAAAACTTGGTTAAAATCGATGGTCACACCTACGCTCACAAAAAACAAACCCAACAACATACCTTTGAAGGGTTCGATATCGCTTTCTAATTCATGGCGGAACTCAGAATTGGCCAAAACGACACCTGCCAAAAACGTACCAAGTGCAGGACTCAGACCTACAGCTTGCATCAGTGCCGCTACACCTACCACCAAAAATATAGATGACGCCGTAAATAATTCCCTCAATCCCGTCTTAGAGATATATCTCAAAAACGGAACAATCATATATCTTCCGCTCACCAAAATTACACCTACCGCAGCCAAAATCATCAATACTTGCATTCCTCCTGACTGATCGTCCATAAACGAACCGCTATGATCTCCTTCGCCCACGACCATCTTTGTTCCCAGAAATGGCAGGATGGCTAAAATAGGAATGATTGCTATATCTTGAAAGAGTAACACGGCAAATGAAGCCTGTCCTGAGACCATTTTGCTAAATCCCTTTTCCTTTAAGGTTTGTAATACAATGGCAGTCGAGGACATAGCAAATGCAAGTGCAATCGTAACAGCTGACTGCCATGTAGGAACAAAAAATAGTAAGGCAATATAAAGAATGAAGCCCGTGACCAACATTTGAGCAGTACCAAGACCAACGATGGCTTTTCGCATTTCCCAAAACTTCTGTGGATCTAGTTCGAGCCCAATCAAAAACAACATCAGCACTACACCAAACTCAGATGCATGCATAATATCTTCGCCATTATCTCCTGCCAATTGTAAGACAAAGGGACCAATGATGATCCCTGCGATCAAATACCCGACTATGGAACTTAGACCTATCTTTTTTGCGATGGGTACCAATACCATTGATGCCCCAATATAAACCAATGCTTGGATCAAAAATTCATTACTCATCTGTGCCTTGTGTTTTTTCAGTGATGAAATCAGTCATTAATTCATATTCAGCGCTGATATCTTTAAAGTTTTGTCCAGTCAACCAATCAATTACTTCTTGGTAATGACTGACAATGTTTTTTATTTTTTCGGAATCAACTCGATTGGAATCATACACAACAAAGGGTGGTAAGTAAGTCATTTTGCAGAGATTGGCCGTTTGTTGGAATGGCCGGAGGTATTGTCTGATGGGATATTTGTTTCCACCTTCTTGGGAGTAAGCTATTTGACTACCACCTGCGCTAATCGTTTGCATGACGAATTTGCCTTGAAGCGCATTTCCACCTGGACCATAAGCCCATTTAAATTCTAATACCATGTCTATCCATTGTTTTAATAATGGTGGACAACTGTACCAATAAAATGGATGGTGCCAGATGATAATGTCATGGCCGCTTAGAAGTTCTTTTTCGTATTTTATATCAATGTCAAACTCAGGGTAAACTTCATACAAGTCGTGAAAAGTAATATTTTCATTATTTTTGTAAACACGACAAAGACTCTTGTTGATGAGAGACTTTTCGTACAATGGATGGGCAAATAAAACTAAGACTTTGGGTTGCATATCAATAATTACATTTGAAAACTATTGAGAATGAAACTCTTGTTGCATCTCAATAGTTCACAAATATAAATTATCTATTGATATTCGATTAGTTAGACCTTATTTACGACTTGGAATTTGCTCTATGATGAAATTAAAATTAGACAATAAGCCACTATTTAATGGATGTAATAATACCTGACTAAACAAGTAGTTTTTATCATCATTCGGATTGTCAAATTTTGCTTTACCATTTAATACTTGAGGCACAGAAAAACCAACATTCAAACCTTTCCAATGATAATTTATACCTAAAGTTAAATCAAAATTTGTACCTCTAGAGTTTATTCCAACTAGAGATGGATCAATTGAAATAGCGTCGGTAGTGGTAGCATCTAAGAAATTAAATTTTTGTGAGATAATTCCTGCTTGTATACCAAAATTAAGTGAATGAGATTTATCTTTTTTAAATGGCAATCTATAATTGTAAGCTACTCCTGCCATTGTATTCATAATTAAGTTATTCACTCTATCATGAGTAAGTGTTACACCCAATGCCATATTGCCATCTTTAATTCTTGAATCCCAAGTGGCATTTCCTGTAATAGGACCAAAAGGCATTCTATCCCATTGTTTTCTAAAGCCCAAATTAATAACGCCACC